CTCCTCCTACTTCCCCGCCATCTTTTCTCTCCCCTCACCAAAATACTGGCCAATAGGTCCCAACAGTACATTAAAAGGATTATTCACCATGACTAAGTCGGATTTATTCCAGGGCTGCAAGGTTGGTTCAACATCTGCAAATCAATCCATGTGATACAATACATTAATAAAAGAAAGAACAAGAACCATATGATATTCTCAGTAGATGCTGAAAAAGCATTTAACAAAGTGCAGCATCCCTTCCTGATTAAAACTCTTCAAAATGTAGGGATAGAGGGCACATACCTCAATATTATCAAAGCTGTCTATGAAAAACCCACTGCAAATATCATTCTCAATGGAGAAAAACTGAAAGCTTTTCTGCTAAGATCAGGAACACGGCCGGGATATCTGTTATCACCACTGCTATTCAACATAGTACTAGAAGTCCTAGCCTCAGTAATCAGACAACAAAAAGAAATTAAAGGTATCCGAATCGGCAAAGAAGAAGTCAAAGTATCACTCTTTGCAGATGATATAATACTATATGCAGAAATCCCAAAAGGCTCCACTCCAAAACTGCTAGAACTTGTATAGGAATTCAGTAAAGTGTCAGGATATAAAGTCAATGCACAGAAATCAGTCGCATTTCTCTACACCAACAACAAAACAGAAGAAAGGGAAATTAAGGAGTCAATCCCATTTACAATTGCACCCAAAAACATAAGATACCTAGGAATAAACCTAACCAAAGAGGCAAAGAATCTACACTCAGAAAACTATAAAGTACTCATGAAAGAAATTGAGGAAGACACAAAGAAATGGAAAAATGTTCCATGTTCCTGGATTGGAAGAACAAATATTGTGAAAATGTCTATTCTACCTAAAGCAATCTATACATTTAATGCAATCCTTATCAAAATCCCATCCATTTTTTTCAAAGAATTAGAACAAATAATCCTAAAATTTATATGGAACCAGAAAAGACCTCGAATAGCCAAAGGAATATTGAAAAAGATAGCCAAGTTGGTGGCATCACAATCCCAGACTTCAAGCTGTATTACAAAGCTGTCATCATCAAGACAGTATGGTACTGGCACAAAAACAGACACATAGATCAATGGAACAGAATAGAGAGCCCAGAAATAGACCCTCAACTCTATGGTCAACTAATCTTCGACAAAACAGGAAGGAATGTTCAATGGAAAAAAGACAGCCTCTTCAACAAATGGTGCTGGGAAAATTGGACAGCCACATGCAGAAAAATGAAATTGGACTATTTCATTACACCACACACGAAAATAGACTCAAAATGGATGAAGGACCTCAATGTGAGAAAGGAATCCATCAAAATCCTTGAGGAGAACACAGGCAGCAACCTCTTCGACCTCAACCACAGCAACTTCTTCCTAGGAACATCGCCAAAGGCAACAGAAGCAAGGGCAAAAATGAACTATTGGTATTTCATCAATATCAAAAGCTTTTGCACAGCAAAGGAAACAGTTAACAAAACCAAAAGACAACTGACAGAATGGGAGAAGATATTTGCAAATGACATATCAGATAAAGGGCTAGTGTCCAGAATCTATAAAGAACTTAGCAAACTCAACACCCAAAGAACAAATAATCCAATCAAGAAATGGGCAGAAGACATGAACAGACATTTCTGCAAAGAAGACATCCAGATGGCCAACAGACACATGAAAAAATGCTCCACATCACTCAGCATCAGGGAAATACAAATCAAAACCACAATGAGATACCACCTCACACCAGTCAGAATGGCTAAAATTAACAAGTCAAGAAATGACAGATGCTGGTGAGGATGAGGAGAGAGGGGAACCCTCCTACACTGTTGGTGGGAATGCAAGTTGGTGCAACCACTCTGGAAAACAGTGAAAATAGTGCTACCCTATGACCCAGTGATTGCGCTACTGGGTATATATCCTAAAGATACAAACGTAGTGATCCGAAGGGGCACGCACACCCAAATGTTTATAGCAGCAATGTCCACAATAGCCAAACTATGGAAAGAACCTAGATGTCCATCAACAGACGAATGGATAAAGAAGATGTGGTATATATACACAATGGAATACTATGCAGCCATCAAAAGAAATGAAATCTTGCCATTTGCGATGACGTGGATGGAACTAGAGGGTATCATGCTTAGCAAAATAAGTCAATCGGAGTAAGACAGCTATCATATGATCTCCCTGATATGAGGAAGTGGAGATGCAATGTAGGGGGTTTGGTAGGTAGGAAAAAAAATGAAAGAATATGGGATCGGGAGGAAGACAAACCATAAAAGACTCAATTTCAAAAAACAGTCTGAGGATTGCTGGGGGGAGGGGGGACGGGAGAAGGTGGTGGGATATGGACATTGGGGAGGGTATGTGCTATGATGAGTGCTGTGAAATGTGTAAACCTGGTGACTCACAGACCTGTACCCCTGGGGATAAAAATACATTATATGTTTATTAAAAAATTAAAAAATTAAAAATTAAAAAAAAAAAGGAAAAAGATGGTGTTGGAAATACTGGACAGCTCTAAGGTTAAAGGATGACACTGGGTCACTTTTTTATACTATTCACAAAGTAAACTCAAAGTGGGATTAAGGACTTAAATGTCAAACTTGAATCATAAAAATCCCAGAAGATAGAACAGATGGTAAGGTCTCTGACATTGGCCCCAGCAACATTTTTATAAATGTCTCCTGAGGCAAGGGAAAGAAAAGCAAAAGTAAACTATTGGAACTACATCAAAATAAAAAGCTTGTGTACAGGAAGGGAAACAATCAACAAAACTGAAAGACAGTCTACTGAATATGACTAGACATTTGTTAATGACATATCTGATAATGGGTTATTACTCCAAATTATATAAAGAACCTGTAAAAAACAAGAAAACTTGTACAACTCAACAACAAAAGAACAAATTATTCAATTAAACAATGGGCAAAATACATGAATAACTATTTCACAAAAAAAGACATCTGGATGCCCAACATAACATGAAATAATATTCAATATCACTTATCATCAAGGAAATGCAAATGAAAACCACAATGAGATATCACCCCACACCTGCCATATTGGCTAAACTTAAAAAACACACAAGAATAGAGTGGTGGGGAGTATGTGTGGGAAAAGGAACCCTGAAGCCCTCCTGGTAGGAATGCACACTGGGGCAGTCACTGTGGCAAACAGTATGGAGGTTCCTCAAAACATTAAAAATAGAAATACCACTTGATCCAGTAACTCTATTACTGGATATTTACCCAAAGAATGTGAAAACACTAAAATGAAAAGAAACATACACCCTAATGTTTACTGCCACATTAATTACAATAGCCAAGCTGTAGAAGCTGCACGAGTGTTCATAGACAGATGAATAATGAAAAAAAGATGTGGTATGTATACACAGCAGAATATTACTCAGCCATTAAAATGCCTGAAATCTTGCCATTTGAAACAACATGGATGGGAAGGGACATAGTGAAAGAAGCATACCATATGGTCTCACTCATATGTGGAATTTAGAAACATAAGAAACAAAAGAAAATAAGTCTTACTCATATGTGAAATTTAAGACACAAAGGAAAAACAATAGACATCTACAGAGAACACACTACTGGTTCCCAGAGGGGAGGTGGGTAGGGAATGGGAAAAATATATGAAAAGGATTAGAATTATACTTACACTCATGAACACTGAGTAATGTATAGAATTCCTGAATCACTCTATTGTACATCAGACCCTAATATAACACTGTGTGTTAACTGAGTTTAAAGAAAAGAACAAATGAACAAATGAAAACTTAACTCAGCATATCCAAAGTTATAGTTCTTGGTTTATGGTTCTTTTCCAAAATAGACTAAAAGCTCCTCATATAAAGTAATTGCACTGTGAACACTGTATTTTCATGAGTGTAGCACAGTGCTTGGATCCAGGCAGGTGCTAAGTGACTGTTTGGCGAGTGAATACATATTAATGCAAATCAGGCTGAGGAGGTGTACTTCAGGTGTTTCAATGTCCTGTGGTCTCTGTGATGGCTACTTGTTCCTCTCTAGGAATAATAGTGGACTGGCGATTGTTGGTACTGTTACACAGGCAATCCTGGGAGAATCTGGACAAGCAAATAAAGTAGCCATTAAAAAGAAACCCATGGGTCAGGCTAGGTCACCAAATTTTGGTGATCCATAACCTAACTGCAGTTCCAACCTCCACCAGAAATGCTCACCTGTCAGTGAAGAATTCTCTGGTCAGCACCAATGAGATATTCTGTCACATGGGTCCTCTCTATCCCCAAGGAGGAGAGGCACCTGCATGGTAAGACTCTCTGCTCTCCCAGTTAAGGGAAGGTGACCTTCCCTGACATTCCTTTCTCTTGTTTTGTCAACTTCCTTTCTATACAAACCTTCCATTTGTACCACTCCACAGAGTTCCTTTTACCTGCCAGATGGGATTCTGCCTAATTCTTGAGTTACTTAATAAAACCAACCACCAACTAGATCTTCAAATTTACCTGGTTGATTTTTTTTTTTTAACGCAAGCAGGGAGAATTCAGAGATGTGAATGAGCTGGGGTGGGAGTGAAATGGGGATGGAAGTATATAGGGCGTGTCACAAGGGCAGGAGAGACAGAGTGACAGCAGGGTTCAAGGCTGGGTGCCAGGAGTCATGTTTTACCATGGGTTATTGTCTGGATGAGAAGGAAAGCCATGAGAGGTAGGGTCACTATTCTATGCCACACAGGACTGGTTCTGTAGCAACTGAATTAGGGGATGGGCAGCAGGATGGAAGCTGGTGACAGGGAGAACCTGGAAGCCAGAGAGGAGGGTCAGACAGGGAGAACCTGGAAGTCAGAGGGGAGGGAAGTGAGAGTCTGTGTAGCTGTCCAGGGTTGAGGGAGGAGCACATTTGTATTGTCACAAACATTCAGAGAAGGCTGGTGTGTGGAGAAGGAAGTCAGAAGAGAGGTGCTGTGTGGGGGGTAGATTTGTTAGAACGACCATCAAAGACCAACTTTGTAAGAGACAGAAAGAACATCTGCAAGTACAATGCTGTTCCTGCAGCTTGTGTTGCTGGTGGTTCTCCTCCCAGATGGTGACAGTGAAGATGGTGAGAACTCTGGCCCTACCCAGTGGGTACATGTGTGTGCGCACGTGAGTGTGTGTAGATGTGCTTGTGTGACTGTATGTGTGGGTTTTAATATATGTATGATTATGCATGTTTGTATACATGTGTTTCTGTGACTGTATACTTGCATGTATATGTATCTGTGCATGTTCTTTTGTATAAGCGTGTTTGTGTATATGAGCATCTGTGCACTTGTGGCATGTGTGTGTGTGTTAATGTGTGTGTGTGTCTGCACTGTGGTGTGGGTTCCCCAGAACATACCTGGGGATGAGAGTGTCAGCCTGGTTCCTTCCTGAGTATCTTGACCCCAGGGCCTTGTGCTCTTCTGAAGGATGGGTTAGAAGCTTGGGGCTCTGGAGCAGCACATGTCTCCTGAGACAACAATGTCTTCCCTGGCCTCCAGATTTTTGGCCTCCAGAGTTTGGTTCCCCTTCATGGCACCTTCTTCTCCATTCTTTCTTCTTCCCAATGCCTTCCTCTTCATCAGTCTTTCTGTGTTTTTTCCCACAGTATTCCAGGAGCCGATCTCCTTCCAAATAATTCTGACCTTATCCTTCTACAACTGTTCCTGGACACAAAATTTTGCCTCAGCTTGGCTGGATGAGAGGCAGACTCATAGCTGGAACAACAAGACTGGAGCTTTCATTTTCTTGGTGCCTTGGTCCAAGGGCAACTTAAGCAATGAGGAGGTGATTACAGCAGAAGAGTCATTGTATTCAAACATCATTGGAATGCCCCAGTGTTTTCATGACCATTTCAGTGAATGGCAGCTTGAATGTGACTTCTATTCCCTTAGAGGTGGAATGGAGGTAGCTGTGTGTGTGTCTCCTTGAGTTCTTTCTTCCACTAGGGAAGAGATTTCTGTGGCTTCTGAACCTCAAGCCTCCCCAACATAAATCTGAATCACACATGTGTGGGTAGAGGGTAGAAGCCAGATCCTGATTCTTCAAAAGTTTCACATCTTCTGCTCTCTCCCACTCCTCTCATTGACCACAGGTTGTGTTCTCCTGTCTCCCACTAGCATCTCCCATGACCCTCTTTCCCTGGCCTCCTGGAAGGCACCGTCTGCTCTCTCACTATGTGACTGACTCTTTCTCCACACTCAATCACATCAGTGAACTCTGCCTACATATTCTCTGCAACCCCCACACTCTCTTCATCCTAGATTGTTTTTATCCCCGCTCTTCCACTGAGCCCTTCCTTATTCTCTGCCCACACCCTTCATCTTTCTCCAACATTTCTTCCTTCCTCAATAATTTACCTCTTCCTCTGCCCCCATCATTACCACTTCCCTTTTGTGTGAATTTTGCCTCAAACCAAAGTGTGTTCCATGCCCTCCAATCCCCTGAACTTCACTTTTGCTTCCATTACCTTGGTTTCCACTCATCTCATCTTATTCACTCCCCCTGTCCTGAAACTCACAGTCTCTCTTCTCCAGATCCCTTCCAGGTACAGCTGGCAGGAGGCTGTGAGCTGCATTTTGGGGCACCATCAGTAGGCTTCATGAAGATTGCTCATCAAGGATCAGATCTTGTGAGTTTCCAGAACACGTCATGGTGGCCATCTCCAACAGGAGGAAGTAGGGCTCAGCAGGTTTGCAGACTACTCAATGAGGACCATGAAGACAATGAACTAATGCATAAGGTCATCATTGACCTTATCTCTCAAGTCTTCTTGATGTAGGAAAGGCAGATCTCCAGCGACAAGGTCAGTCCTGCTCCCTCCCTTCATGAATTCTTTACTCTGCACTAATAAATTTGTACCATTCCCTCAAATTCATGGTATAAAGGAGCCAAGAGGGAGAGTGGAGGATGGTGAAAGGTTTCTAGAGGTAGAAAGATGTGTCTATCTAAAGTGATCTACCCTCTCAGTCTATGAACACATATCCTGTCTCTGCAGTGAGCCCAGAGGCCTGGCTGTCTACTGGCACTAGTACCAGTCCTGGCCATCTCCTGCTGGTGTGCCGTGTCTCTGGGTTCTACCCAAAGCCTGTGTGGGTGATGTGGATGCGGGGTGACCAGGAGCAACAGGGGACTCGGCAAGGTGATGTTCTGCCCCATGCTGATGGAACGTGGTATCTTCAGGCGTCCTTGGATGTGAAAGCCACGGAGGCTTCTGGCCTGTCATGTCAAGTGAGACATAGCAGTCTAAGAGGCCAGGACATGGTCCTGTACTGGGGTGAGAAAGAGCTGGGACCCAGCTGGGAAAGAGGGCAGGTCTTCCTCTCGGAAAGCTGGAGAGCCTGATGAAAAATTTGGGAATCTAGGGACTCCAGACCAAAAAGGATACACAATCAGTAGTTCAAGAAATGGAAGAGCTGAGGGTGAGGGTCATACAGTTGTGGGAGGATGCATCAGGTTGGGTGAAGGGTCCATCTCTGAGGAGAAATGGGAGAAGTGAAAGGAGGAGGGCAGTTGGTGAGAGAGAGGGTGACAAGAACAAAGAGGACCAGGGAGGTAGATTTCAGTACTGGGTGGATGAGACATGGAGGTAGATTTCAGTACTGGGTGGATGAAACATGATACTGTCTGTGCACTGAACCCACAGAGCAGCCCCAATCCATGGGCTTGGTCTTCCTGGAAGTGATGGTGCCCCTGGTGCTTCTGGCAGGTCTGACATTGTGGCTCTGGAAGTGCTGGTAAGTCTGTGGAGCCACCTTCCTGCTCTTTCCCAGGTGTCTCCCACCTTTCAGTATGTCCTCAGCCCTCCTGCTCCCAGTGCCCTTCTCCTTTGCAGTCCTCACCTCCGCCTGCCACAGAGTGACTTCTTCCTCTATTGCTCCCAGGAAAACACACTGGAGACTTCCGTGCACTGACCTCCCTTCTGAGCAAGATCCCAGCAGCCCAGGCTCTGGTACTTACCTACGCCCAGCTCAGCAGTGACATCCTTGTAAATCTCTGTGTGCAAATTTGTCTTTCATTTTTGTGTAATGATCAGTTGCCAATATAAGCTCAGTGTAATTTAGCAGGATTTGTTGTTATGACTTGGCTCTGGAACTTAAATCTCAAAATTTAACTCAGTGTAAAACAAAGTCCCAACACTCATGTGTCACAGGCATTAGATGTCACTTCCTTTAGTGAGGCCTCCCTGGTTCAGAAATGGGGCATGTGTTGGGATGAGCACTGGGTGTTTTACGGAACCAATGAATCGTTGAACACGGCATCAAAAACTTATGATGTACTATATGCGGTCTAACTGAACATAAAAAAAGAATATATAAAAAACAAAAACCAACCAACCAACCAACAAAAACAAAGTGCAAGCAGTCTCTGCCCGGTGAGACTTTCCACCACTTTAACCTGCACTTTGGTTAATCTGTTTTTGATTCTTGGCCCTTCTTGTTCCTGGTTAGGTTCTTTTCCCCTTCTAAGTCTTAGGATTGTTGAGAGCAAAAACCATATCCTTTCAATATTTGTTTCCTTGACAAGTAGTCTCACCTGCATGGAATATGTGCTCAGTGAAAATACATGTTGAATTTATGACAAATTTAGAGTTTTTTCCTTTTGCTCCCTGGCATTTTGCAGTAGTTGAGACATTTTTTTCTTTTTTTGTAAGTTTTCTTACTCGGCCAAGGTCTTTACTCTTTCCCTGTTTCTGCTGACATCTCCAGGCCCCTAAGTCAAAACAGGTTTTCCTGTGGAGATTTCCATTATTTAACTAATAAACCTACTACACTGGACCCATTCCTCCAAGTATTCTGAAGTAAAAGAGGAAAACAGGATTCAGACCCTTGCTATTTGTGGGGCTCCAGGACAGCATCAGAGTTGTCACCTCAGGGCTTTTAAAAAATACAGGGCCTTGTCCTCAGCAGAGACTTCCTGAATCACAATTTGTGTTTTTGCAGAATCAGCAGAGGATTCACAAGTGCATAAAATGTGATGCCTGAGAGGTAGCAGTGACAGTGTGTCCTTAAAAGGAAAAGAGAAAATCCAGAATAAAGAAGACTGTTGCCCTCTAGAGTGACGGGGGATTCAGCAAGGAGGGTGCATGCAGTTCATTCTGGCATTTGGGGCTGCTGGGTTATAGTCACGGAGGACATGGGGTCCGTGACAGTGGACCATTGCTCCTGGTGCAAATTTGGAGCCGGGTTCCTGGGAGTCTCTACTCACAATGCTTGACTACCCAGCCTTGTTTCATTTGTTTCTGTTTAAGGACTGTTTCCTTTATATATATATATATTTTAAAATATATAATTTATATTGAATTATTATATTCTTAATATTAATAATTAATACTATATTATAAATAAAA